TCAGCATCCTCCTCCTCGGCGTGGCACACTTCAAGGGGCAGTGGGTAACAAAGTTTGACTCCAGAAAGACTTCCCTGGAGGATTTCCACTTGGATGAAGATAGGACTGTAAGGGTCCCCATGTCAGACCCTAAGGCTATTTTGCGCTATGGCTTGGATTCTGATCTCAACTGCAAGATTGCCCAGCTGCCCTTGACTGGAAGCATGAGTATCATCTTCTTCCTGCCCATGAAAGCGACCCAGAATTTGACCTTGATAGAAGAGAGCCTCACCTGTGAGTTCATTCATGAGATAGACCGAGAACTGAAGACCGTCCAAGCGGTCCTGACCGTCCGCAAACTGAAGCTGAGTTACAAAGGCGCTGTTACCAAGTCCCTGCAGGAGATGAAGCTGCAATCCCTGTTTGATTCACCAGACTTTAGCAAGATCACAGGCAAACCTATCAAGCTTACTCAAGTGGAACACCGGGCTGGCTTCCAGTGGAATGAGGATGGGGCAGGGGCCACCCCCAGCCCAGGGCTGCAGCCTGCCTACCTCACCTTCCCCCTGGACTATCACCTCAACCAGCCTTTCATCTTCGTACTGAGGGACACAGACACTGGGGCCCTTCTCTTCACTGGCAAGATTCTGGACCCCAGGGGCACCTAATACCCCAGTTTCATATTCCAGTGCCCTAGAAGAAGACCCCAGAGGGACAGATTCCACACCACCCGAAGGCTGCCCCATTACCTTTCAGTGCATACAATAGAAGAGCTCGATCCTTAAAATATATATATATATATTTTATATATATTTACAGACTAATTATTATATTTTATATTATATACATAATATGACTTATATATATATAATATATATAATATAATATATATATTATAACATATGTTGAGTGTATTAAGTGTCCTGTGATGTTTGTTGGCTCTGTTGTGTTTATTCACCAATTTGTACATTATTTGTTGTCCTTTACTACTGTAAACAGTAAATATAGTTTGGTATTCTGTCTAAAAAAAAAAAAAAATACAAGAATGTGCTTTAGAGTATGTGAGCAACTTGTCTTCAGTGTAGTGCAAAGGCAGAGTGAGGAGGCCTGTGGCCCCTTCTCATTCTACTCCCCATTCAGCACAGCTGCCATCTGCAAGGAGTGCCTAATCATGCTACAATCATTGCCCACTGACCCTCACCCAGTGGGCCTCCCCCTTCCTACTCAGGCACCCCCTTCACTCTGCCTACAGACTCAGTCTCACTACAGCTTTGACCAATGGTTGGAACCCAACACCAGAGCTTTGCTAATAATTAGTGTGGTCATCTGAGCCTAATGAGTCCCAGTTGCATTAGGTTAAGAGACTCTTCTGGAGCCAGCGCCAGGTCTTGAATGGCACCTCTCCCTAGGATACACAGCCTGCAGGTCCCTGGGACCTGGGTGACACCTGCCTCACTGTGGCAGTGTATTGCCTGTTAATTGCTGCTAATTCTAATTCTGATGATGACTGCTACTCCATTGTTTACCCCAAAGCATCTGCTAGGCTGGAGTGATTTGCTACAAATGAGCAAAAGATGAGTCCCTGCTTCCCTCAGAAATAAAGGAGCTGAGCTGCAGGGTTGCATTGGGTTCCTTGGCCTTCAAACTCTTCCCACTCCCAAAATCCAGAAGTAAGCTTTGCATGTTCCCCTTCCTGGGAGGAAACCAATTGTCAGAAGGGTATATGTTGC